TAACTACGGCTAGTTGTTAGAAAAGCAATCCTCAAACTTACTCGAGTATGTAACAAAGTAAATCGTTCAGATTTGTAAGCACTATTATTTTTCCTAGCAAAAGAACTACTCCCTACGATCCAACCTAAAGTTGTACTAAGTAAGCATCAAATAATTTGGATCAGAGGGAGTAGTACATTCCTCCGCGGGTCATATCTCGGTTTGCAGAACACTCCAAACTTTGATGTTTATACTCCCTCTTGTGTTTGCAGAAGAAAATGACCATTTTTGGAATAGGATCTGCTTATACCTTGTAGACGACTCCAAACTTTCCAAAACAATTTTAACTAAATCATATCTCGGTCTTGGGTAGTAGTGTTACAATACAAGATTTTGAACATCAAGGTTGCAGCAAACATCGTGAAATGATACCTACAAAAATTTATCAAAAAAATGTCTACTAATTTGTGTTCTAGAAAAGATTGCACGAGACATATTCATTTATCTCTTGTCCTTTCTGTTTAAAGACATAATTGCTTATAGTTTTTCATAAAATTTACTCATTTCTTATTTTATAGCATATGAATAATTGTTCCAGATTTTATGAGTACCATGGTACAGATAAATCATTCTTGAAATCTTAATTAGCAGTAAAATGGTCATATTTTAGCAGTAATGCAACTTTGATGTTGAAAAGAGAGTACTGCTTTACCTTAGCTTAGCGATGATCTCTTCAAACAAAAGATAAGACAATTCTCGAGATGTCATGTTTTCATCACAGTTGTCTTAATTAATTTTTATCATCATATATTTCCATAATCTGTATGTGCAACTAAATTAATTAGGAAGTCTATCTCCATAAAAACACACGGTGAAATGTAGTAGCGTACAACAAGGACTAACTATCTCCTGGCAGATCCGCAGTCATATCATGCTATCAGTACTTGTACTTGCATGAATGACTCGGGGTTTGAGTAGAGGGTGAAAGCCAGCCGCCACTACTCGATGTTATCACTCTGCAGGATTCGACAATGGAAACTTAATACGGAATAGCGACAGGTGAGGACGAGCAAACCCTGATAGCTACAATTCTATGTCTTCTTATTAAGCCCTTTGATTTGCCTTATCACTACAGCCACGGATTTTGTTAGTTAGGACCTCCTTCTCACGCTAGAGTATGGTTGGTGTATACCCGGTCATTCCCACTACAGTTTGGAGCTCACCATTTATTTACAACAACCCTATCTACAGTCAAGAAAATGTAATTTGATCTTTTCACTCGGCCTTTCTAAGCAGGCTTTTCGGTTAGTTGTCGTTTCTACTAGAACTTCCCTTTAGCAGTTTTGGAACATCTATAATACGATTGAATGTTGGGACACGATATATGTTACATATATTCGGATTAGTCTGTGGCAGAGAATTGTAGAAGGATCATCCACACCCACAATGAACGATAAACCAACATAGCAACTCAAGGCCAAGCCAACTCATAACTTTTCTGGAATCCATAGTATCAGGGCATCTCCAATTCCATCCCTTAAAATGGACACCACACACATCCACAGACGTGTTCGGGGACACGGATATGAGAGTCTGCCATCCAATCATATACCTCAAATGTCCGCTTCTATTAACTTAAAACAAAAATAGCTTGTGAGCTGCAACCCTTCCTTCCATTAACCGATCAAGAAATCACATGCACACCTTCCGCCAAATCACATGCACGTAGCTTAGCACCTTCCGCGAAATCACATGCATGCAGCTTCCTTCCGCCTAATCACAGCTTAGCACCTTCCACCAAATAGCTTGTTTAATCACACTCCTTCCGCCAAAAACAATACAAATAGCAGCGGCCTTCTGCCGCCCTGCGCGGACTAAGAAGAGAGATCTGCCGCCCTACTGACGAAGCGGATGACCGGACCCCGCAAACCCCCTCTAATTTTGCTTTTGGTTTGCAAGAACTCGGACACGCGGACGCATCACGCATCCACGGACTGATGCGGCACCGTGTTGGATGGCTTAGATCATCAGGACACCTCGGCCTGGAAATTTGCGGGCGGGAGGCCCAACCCCCGCCTAACCCTACCCCGCTCCCGTGCGGCGCCACCACGCCGGACCCAGGGTGCCCCGCCTTCTTCCTCCGGTACCCCCTGCCACCACTCTCCTCTCTGTTGTCGCCAGCGATAATGCCAGGGAAAAGCCCGAGCGGCTCGGCGGCGGCGGCCTTCTCCCGGTGCGCCAGCGGCTCAAGATAGATGCGGCGGACCCGATCTCAATCTCTTCGGTAGTACTGGTGGACAACGACAGCTGGGGTGGGGAGCCGCAGCGGCAGGTGGCGGCGGCGGCCATGCTGCAGCCACTCATCCTCCGGTTTGGCTTCAGATCATGGTGGTGCTCCTGGTCTTGTTCTGCATCACGCGGGCGCCTGGGCCAACGACCCTGGGCTTGTCAGTGGTGGTCATCTCCTCTGTTGGAGGTGGTCGGCCTGGGGCTGGGTGGTCAGATCTCAAGATCCGTCATCTAGTCCCGGCTGCGAGTTGGGGAGACATAGTTGCCAGTGAAAACCGATCCGGCGGCAGGCAATGGTGGCGCTCTGCACCGTTACCTTGATGAAGTCATCGTCGTGTAACTACGGTTGACCCGCTCGTGTTGCTTCGGGGGAAACCCTAGGATCTGGTCTTCCAAATCAGACGATAGCGGCACTACGGCGCCGTTTCTCTCTTGGGAGCATCGTTTGTGGACCAGTGCCGGAAGATAGAGGCAGGAGGTGGAGCAGCTTCGTCTTGCAAAGAGCTTCGGTGGAGATGTCAAGTAATGCCTGGCCGACAAGTGCTACGTTGTGCCATGCCTGTTCGGCAGGTGCTACGCACGACAGATCTTCCAGAGATTTCAAGCTGTGGCGGCGGGTGATACGTGTCGGCATGGTGCTGCGGTGTACCGGCGGCGACCGCGACGTACTCAGCAGTTTGTGCGCAGGGAGTCGGTGCTGTAGAACCCGTGATGGCGTTGTCGGATGTCCGGACTGGCAAAAGATGATGTTGATCTCTTTTCCGAAGATGGGTCAGAGGTTCGATGATGATGGCAGCTTCTAAAACACGTGCATGTGGTGTACGATTTAGGTTCGTTGCACCGATTGTAGGTTCAGATACATTACGTGGATGGATCGGCGACGACACCGGTTTTAAATATAAGGAATGAGAGTACTCAACATTATCGAGTTTGTAGGTGTAAGCAAGGTTTTGGATGTCGAATGGATGAATTTTCTCGTGGGGGTGGGGGGGGGGGGGCGAGATTCTCGGTTACCATGGTTACCAAGAAATACCGAAAATATTTCGGACGATATTTTATATTGAATTTTAAATTCAAATACTTTTAAAAAGTCTTATATATATATAAAGTCAGGAACATCTTCTATTGAGCACAAAAGAGATGGTATCTGCGTGGAACATCTTCTGCCCACGCGCTAAGCGAGGACCCGAACCCCAATCCTCTCGA